GTATGCGTTCGCCTCGTGTAGGCCGATCGATAGCCTGCTGTGAGGGCGGCTGCTTGGTGCATGTTATCTGCCTGTTAGGCGCCTCTTAACAGATAGGACGTGGGAGGTGCGGTTTAATTCTACTATTACTATAAACTAATTCATGCATAATTCACCACCCGTACACGCCTCCTGTTGCTATCGTCGCAAACGACGGCCAAACTGTCGTATAGATATTGTCCAAAATGACGTCTTTTTGCATTTGCTTTCCACTTGATGGGACCTCGTGCTGTGACCTTTACAATTTGTGACTATAAGACGTTTTGAGTGAGTATCGCGTTATAACTCAAGTGGTCTAGTAAAAACAGATTAATAGGGAAAATAGAGAGCGAACTTGCTTTAGGGAAACAGACAAGGCATTCATTTTGCGAAACTAAACGACAGTTGGAGACGCAGCAGATTACTTAGAGATTTACATGAACTAGCAACAGTTTTCAAAAATATAAACGTCAAAGGTACACAATTTCTAGTACGCACGTTGTTCCCTGGTAAATGAGTACGATGACCGAAAAGTTCAGCATCTTTCTACGCCAACATCGAAAGTAAAGACAGAAATGGTAGATTACGTAGGTAGTTATTTTCGCCATTTCTATCTAAACAAATGACTGGCAGGATACTGATAGGCTATTTCGTGTTGCTTAGCTTCGAATTCAGTCCCACGCTGACCAACATCATAATCATAATAAGCGAAATGTAGCGTCACTAGCCAGAAGAGAAACTTTTGAACAATATGACTTAGTGACATTTTCAAACTCCCTCCACATCCCCAGACTGGCATGTCACAACCGCAAATAATACCAGTACTGGCTTCAACTCCTGGACAAATACCAGGAGTGCCGCAGAAAACAAGAGTGAGGGAAGCACTGGCCACCTACCAGTCAGAGAGGAATGCTTGGATATCAGCGACAGGGTACCCGCCGCATGGTTGTGGTGTGAGACGACCACATGCTGGGTCGCTCCGTTCATGGGTGTCAGGCTCATAGAGTGCGGATAGGAGTAAGATCCTGCATGCACGGTCGCGCAGGCTACCGCTGAGGCAGGAGCCAAATCGTTGTTCGTATTTGCCGAGCAGTAGAGAGCTCCTGAGGTGGTGAGAACGCGCTGT